AATATAACATAAAACTCATTTACTTTTGAAATAATATGCATTGATATGACATTTTAAAATGAGCATAAAATCTGTACCAAATGAGCATACATAACTTACAAAATGTTCATTGATATGAAAATCGTAAGGTTTGTTAGTTTAACAATGTATTTTCATTGAGCATCAAACATCTTCTATTAAGATGAAAATAATGGTTTCTATTAAATGAGCATATTAATGAACTTGTAATGAGCATCATACCTATTCTGTTGAGTATTATTGAGCATCGTGACTTCTACTTCATAACTTCTGATTCACTTTCCTTTTCTTACTTTTCTTTTATATAATTTTTTTAAATTATATCTATAATAGATTCCTATGGATTCCAATATATGAATCTAATTTAATATTAAATTTTTGATATATACATCAAGACATTTTATTGAGCATCAAGACATTTTCATTGAATATCAACTTTCCTCTATTGAACATTGAAACTTTTTTTATCTTTTCATAGAGCATCAAGACATTTCATAACAATGAGCATCATGATCCTTGCTTCATATATTTTTATTCTTTTTATTTTATTATTTTTATTTTGTAAGGACTTATTAAATTATATCTATAATCAACTCTTATGAATTTCAATATGTGAATCTAATGTGATATGAGATTTAAAAAATGAGCATAACATCAGTACAAATGAGCAAACGTAACTTACACAATGAGCATTGCACCGATATCAAATAAGCATACATATGAAATGAGCACAAAAAATCAAAAAACCTTTAAAATCTCTAATATGCTCAAATATTAAATGAGAATACATAACTTAGTAAATGAGTATAGAAAAAATTTAAATGGGCATTACACCAATATGCATGGATATGACATTTTAAAATGTCTGGTGTAATGCTCATTTTAAAGTGAGCATTACACCAATTTCAAATGAGCACAGATAACTTACGAAATGAGCATCAAAAATCAAAAAAATAATATAAAATCTCTAGTTTGCTCAAATATTAAGGAATCATAGATATCAATTTATGTATGCTCGTATCCGTATAACATAAAGAAGTATCAATTCCTTATTTTAGATCAGCAATTTTATTGGGCTTATTTTTTAAATATATCAATGCACATTTAAATTAAATAATGTATTCATAATTATTTAGAAGGTTGGAGCTTTTAATAGAATAGTGAGAGAAGTATATGTTTTTATTGAATTGCCATTCAATATGAATTTTTGAAAGAATTGCATGAAAAAAATATTGTAGAAAAAATACATAAAAATAAAAAAGTTAAGAGTTCGAAATTAGAGAATCACAAGACAAAAAGTATATAAAAAAGAAAAAATGAAGTAGAAAAAGAAATGTTAAAGTTATAATAGATAAAAATTAAAGGAAAACAAAACAGAAAAACCAAAGTATAAAAAAGAAAAAGAAAAGTTAAACATAGAAAACTCAAAGTTTTAAATTAAAGAAAAGAAAAAAGAAATACCAGAACTATAAAAAAGTAAAAAGGAAAAACGAGAAGCAAGGCTTAGGCTACAATCAAATGATAATTGGATAAGGGAAAAAGTGTAAACTAATAAGAAAAGAAAAAAGAACAAACGGAGGAGCAGCGACAGAAGATATCTTACTATATACAAAAGCAGGTGGAAAACCAGCTCATTTTCCCGCCGAAAGATCCGGATCAAAAAAATGGGTTCGGATCTCCTCAAAACTTTGTTTGCTGGTCAATGTAATTAATGGTTGATCTGACAGGTGTCATATATTTGTCTATTCCGCACAGTATTTGCGTGTAAACCCCACCATATCCTTCGTATCTCGCAAGATCTCGGTTAACGTGAATGTTGTCAGATTCACAATAATACGGAGGATGTAGCCAACTAAAAATCATATCAGTTTTCTTGAGCAAGTTTAATCTAAAATCAGTATTCGGATATACATGTCTTGCAAGTATGGAAAATAGCCGATTTCATCTGCAATCGTCGATACATTCCATACCGCAGGACCTCACGACGGCTGGGCTTCGGGCAACTCGACGGCTAGAGTATCTTATCCGTTGCAGTAACATTAATGGAGAGCCATAGACCCAATCGATCTTTGACCCAACAAGACGGCAGCGACCGCGCTTGCCGACTGGGATACCTCGCGACCAGGTGCAATTTTCTGATCTGGGAGATCGATGAGGATAGAGAATGTAGGCTCTTTGTTTCAACGATGGTGTCCGGCAATGAGATAGCGTCTGAAACTATGGGTTGGAGCCGGGGATGGGAAACCAGAAAAATGAAAGGAGTGGCGGCAGTTTCATGGAAGAGGCCAGCGGTAGCTAATGATTAGTTGCTAGATATTTCAACTTCTGGGTTAAAAATTTTATTGAAAAAAAATGCTTCTATTTTATATTTTTGACTATAACATTATTAGCTTATCTTGAGAGTCATGCATGCTATGGATTTTGATCTTGATAAACAACATGGAAGACATATTTGCGCTTCATGTAGCATTGCGTGCTCCCACGATGGGGTAATTATTTGAAGAATGTGGTTCAAGATGTCTGCTAAGTTCTTGATAATGTTTGAGTTTTTATATTACTATCGATTTGGGACAAATTCCGGGCTGCTTTAATTATAAGGTCGATTATATAATCAATCTATATGTGTATATACTCCGTATATTAACCAGCCAGAGCTATTATTTTGGTTTCAGACAACTACTGGACTCTTCCTTATCAGACGAGGTGTGTGTGGATATTTGCACATATAATTTTTCATTATTTTTATGTTAATTAATAAATGCTTTTACATGGTTTTACTGTTTTACCTATATGGCACGAAGAGAGAAAAGTGATATTATAGATCATCCATTTAGTTGATGTGGGTATAGGAACAAACAACATGTTCATGTTTTAAATCTTCCCTCATGAATGTTGTAGTATGTATTTAAATTCTTTTCTTATATGTGAATATTGTTACACTATGTAAAATTACAATTCTGGATTTCGTTCAGTAAACAGGACAACTTGCAAGGAATGTAGAGTTCAGTTTAGCTGTTCAGCCTGTTCTGCAAGGAGAGAAAGGTCCAACATATGACCAAATTGTGTTAAATGCTGGAATAGTTAATTGACCATTTCCTCGGGTGTGCAAGCACCAAAGATGTATACTCTATTTTAATGAAATGATAAGAGCCTGTGCAGAATTTAAGCTATGGAGCTATATTCGAGTATTGTACTTCTCTAAAACATTGTAATTTGAACGGTTTATGATTTGTTTTAATGTTATTTATATTTTTGGAGCTTTATTTAATCATGACACATTGGGTCTACATGTTTCATGGATTTAGGATTGAACACCGATGGTGTTAAATGAAACTATGAAAGTGAATTGTCAAAAAAAACTGTAGTCAATAACTGTGAAAGTGATTTTTTTTAAAACAAAACACACGTTCTTTTAACGTGGGTGTTAAAAAACTATGAAAGTGAATTGTCAAAACTATGAAAGTGATTTTTTTGTGAAAGTGAATTGTCTATTTTCAATAAATGTAGTGACAGTCTGACAGATAACTCATTTAGAAACTTATATCCCAACTCATAATATAGTCATTCCTTGCATTTGTAATTATTATTTGTAAATAACTCATTTAGAAACTTTTATCCCAACACTCATAATATATAATTCATCGAGCAATACCACTTGAAATTTACATTCGTGGTTAAACTTTCTATATTTAAAATTATGTTGTTTGCAAAAGAAATGTTTCAAAATGTTAGACTGGTGCTTCTACCGGATTATTTCTAATCGTAACTCCTTACATAATTTCTATTATATAAGGAGTACTACATTTATTGTTCTTTAATACATTCCCACATTCGATTTACATAAAAAATCACTAATAATGTTAATAAATAATAAAATATAATTGATGCTTAATTTTGATCCGTGCATCGCACGGGTGATAATCTAGTATAAAGAAACATATGTGTAACCTCCGGCCACGAAAGAGTAGCAAATGCAATGCTTCATAATTAATAACCTCAGGTTTACAAATAATTACAAAAATACTTGGATGTTCCAAACCACACGGTACATCCAGGTGTATGATATACTAGATTCTCTTCCGTGTGATGCACGGGACAAAATTCGGTATAACAATCTCATATTCTTCATTATATTAAGGAAAAATGACCTTAGTAATACTAACGGGAGACCTAAAGACTGCAAAAATAAGATAGTTTTTCCGTTTTCCCATAAATGAGACCATTTCCGGTATGAGTTTACAAAATTAACCTTAGCACCTATTATTACGAACATAAAAATAGAAATGGGATAATATGAGCCTGTTTGTTAATACCCAAATCAACTGCATTGATTGATTGAACTGAAATTTTTGAAATTCTGATTTAAGTGTCAAGACTGACTGACTGTGTTGATTTATGAAAGAAATGAAATCTAAAATATATTTTATAAATTAAATAAAGATTTTTTTTATGAAAAATAGCTAAAATGGTCCAAATAGTAACTGAAACCTTACCTTTTCTATTATTACATAATTCAATGCACGAAATCAAGAACTACGTGTTTGGTGTAAAAGCTGACTTATAAGCAGAAAATGTGATTGTACTAAAATTTACGGATTATAATATTTTTATTGAAGTGACTAAATTGGTTGAATCTATAGAATTATGAAAAAAATTATGTTATTATATTAGATAAATATCCAAATTGATCCTTTAGAAAAATAAAGAAAAAAAATAAATGAAAAAACCTAATAGCTAAACTGATCCAAATTATATATATATAAATAGACTCTTTATTAATTTATTTGAATATAATATAAATACAATACACAATTTATTAATATAAATGCAATAATTTTACTAATTGAATACAAAAATAATACAATAAAGGTTGCTAATTGATAATTTTTTCAAAAAGAATTAGGACCATTTTCAACCTTGTAAAATAGATAGACATTTTTATTTAAGCCCAACATACAATATACCAAATACAATTATATCTATCAACCCAAAACCCAATTACCCAAATTTAATACACCATATACCGCACATACTCTGTATTTACTAAACATACATAGGGTCGTCAAGCCCCATCGCCGCCATTCATCCGTACATCACCTTCGTCTCTCCGCCTCTCTGCGTTCGTACAGCATCCATAATTCCACACCAGAGAGCCAACGGTGACTCCGATGCTCTCATCCCAACTTGGTTCACAGTTCTTTGTTTCCAAAAAGTAGAGTAATAGGTAGTCCAATGTTCTTTAACATTTCAATGTGGAAGAATCTGAGTCACTGCTTGTCGGTAGAGTGCGTAGATGTGCGCGTTGAATACAGCCAGCGTATTTGAGCTCATGCCGACCCTAGCGATCTATTACGGGTATACTTCGAACTGTACTTTGGCATTATTTTTTTATAGTTCAAACTATATATGACCTTTGGTTTTTTCGAAATTGGTTTTTCATTTGATATGAAATCTCCCTGTTAGTTACTCGTATTCGATATTACTGTGCTAGGGGAACATGTTATTTTTGTGTGCTAAAATCTGTCGGTTTGACATAAATCGGATTTTTTGAGGGAAAAAGCACAAGCTAGGATGTGAAAAAGCTTATCATGTTTATTTGGTATATTATTTAAAAACAACCAAAGATTTCTGCATCCATCTTTCCTTCGTATTGTTCTGTTGACGTTTAAGATGTTTATTTGTTTTTATCAACATAGATACTGAAAATTTGACAAATATGGTCGGCAGAGTAAATATGATGACATAAGTGACGCATATATACTCATATATCTTGAAAATGAGATATGCACTACCTATGTCACACATTCTCTACTTGATCCAGAAATTTGAAAGCATTACTACTCGGCCGGTCCTCAAAGCATAGCTATATTGAAAGCATCCAGTTGCGATAAACATGCATGTTTAACAGATTTATGTAGTAGACTAAATTTGTATAATTTTAATTAACAAACGTCTTTAACAGTTTTGTTTACTTCACTTAACCTAAATATTTTTACTTATGGATATATAAATCTATGAATAGTATGAACGTGTGATAATGACAGAAACCTGTAGTTTTTTTAATTGTTATCTATTCTGTCATATGTTGGACATGAACATCAATACATGTTAAAGGTGGTATCAGGAATTTTTTTAAGCATTTTTTAGTTGGTGATACCATGTTTCTGTAAACCTCAGTTTCCCAATTTAAAAAAATGACAAAACAGTTTTCAAACAAATGAGATTAATTATATTTGTATTTCAACTTATACAGATTTATATCTATACAATTTCAACAAAAAATTAGTTGATTTGAACTATATTGAACTGTAGTTCAAATGTTCAATATATATATACATATTATATTTACATATGAATAAAACTAAGTCTATATAGTGAAGCTTTTGAACTGTACATACACATATACACATATATACACACTCAAACAAAAGTGTTCGTTTGAAGACATTATGTGCCTAAGTCCAAACTCCAAATTGAAAAGATTGTTTTTTAAAACCCCTGTGATTATAATACTTTTTGTATTAAAGTACTTGAATACTGAGTTATTGAAAAGGTTTATGTTACTCTTTTTCATTGTGAAGCCCAGTTGCTTGTCATGGCCAATAAGTGATTGCTGGTGTTTTTGTCAATTGACCATAGGGCTCCAGTTTCCCAACCAGCCACTTCAGTGGTCTTCAGATCTGCGTGGTCTCAAAGCCCAGAAGCTCAAATTAAGGCCAAATTCACAAATCTGTTTTTGACCCGTCAAAACATTTTGCTTTAAGCCGGTTAAATGTCACATTCACCCATATCAATATCACATACATTTAAAAACAATTAGTATATATATTATTTTAAACTTGTAAAAAAATAGTTTAAACTTTAATAGTTTCAGCCCAACCGAAATACTGGTTATCATCACACCTTTATTAAGAATGTCTTCAATTCCTATTTAACGGTATAAATTGGTTGATTTTGTCAACCTCCTCATGCCTCATGTTTAGAATGAGCTTTAATACACTACCTGTTCCTTTTTAATAAATTCAAGCCTTCTTTGTTACTACATTTGTATATGAAAATAGTATTTTTATAAATACCATGTACGTTGTATTAAATAAATAGTGAATGAGTAATAAATTTGCATAAACTTTTCAACAATACGAAGTGACCTGGATCAAGTAAGGATGAGGTGTGATTTTCACCGTTTGGTAGTTATGAAGGACCAAAAAGTTTCTTATACCATACACTCCATCCTCTCTTATTCTCGACTTTTACTTTCCAAGTTGCGGCCTCTTCACTACAGCATGAATTTTAATGTTGGAGTACCCTGTGATAGAGGTTTTAATGTTTAGATTCATTTGAAACTAAAGGGAAGACAAATAGGGTGTACAAAACCATTACCTCCTCATGGCGCAAGATCATCTCTAGTGTTTCTCCACCCCTAAAATGGAATATCGTAAGCTCGAACAACGTTGACCTTGATAGCTCAAATGGACTTTGTGTGGTCCACATCTTTGATCAGAGACCACCACATTCTTGTGTTCAAACTCGCTGCCATTGCAAAGTGTGTGTGTGTGTGTGTTTATTTGTTGTGGTGTTGAACTGCTAATGCATTACTCGTATTTATAGTTACGTACTTACATCATAGTTGGTCTCATATGGTATCAATGGGTTTTTTCATTCGAATTCCACAATCTTTAGAATGAGATTATTTTAGTACAAATCATTTATTGCTGTGTAGTAGAAAATGTACCTTGCATTCAATGTTTATTCTCTACCATCTCTCAACTTAAGAGAGCCGTGTATTCGAAATTCAGTAATAAGGACTATGATGCAGTTCATACTAAAATGCATTTAATGCAAGTACACAATAAAAAGATTTTTATTGAACCACCAAATCTGATTTTTGTCTAAATTCGAATTGCAATATCCCAGGCAGAAGATTTGGTGTACAATGCATTAAATGCAACCATTGAGCCGAGCAATATCGAGCCACCAAGCCTGATAATTCAAAAGTTGTTCTTTTGTGCTTTGCAATACATGCATTTTATGGAGCTCCCTACTGCCTCTGCCTTGATTATGAAGTGCTCTCAGCCCATTGTAGAACCCGACCCGACCCGATTAATGGACTGCACTTTGGGTGGGAAAAATGAACATTTTTCTCCCGTTTTTGTGTAGAGAAAGATTTTGCCGTAAGTTTGTCACTCATGTTCTTATCAAAATCACTCTCTCGCTGCTTCTCCCAAAGCACTGTAACCGATCAAATTTTGGCCGCAATCATCCAGAACCGACCATTAGACGTCAGCCTCCTCCCTTCACCTACTCGACCCGTTTGGACTACAGAAACAGTTTCTGAGGTCCTACGCTCCATACCCAGATTCCTCTTCCGGTCTCCGAGATCCATCGGCTGCCAGAATGGCTTTCGTCATCGCTCCCCTTTGAGACAGAGAAGTCTTAGAGAAGAATCCAACAAGGCGCGCCATGGAAAGCTCATTCTTGGCCCTGCTGCTTATAGAGACCCTGAAAAAGTGCAGCTTGGTCTGGAAAAAGCGCATGAATTTTTCGATTGGGTGGAAACCCATTTCGGGTTCACCCACAACGAGCTTACTTGCAGAGAGATGGCTATCGTTCTTGCTAAGGGAAGCGGTGTCCTGAAACACATTATCCAATTCCTGAAGAGAATGTCAAAGAGAGGGCTTGTCACCACACCCACCATAACCTGTTTGATAAAAGTCCTAGGAGAAGAGGGGTTAGTAAATGAAGCACTTTTCATCTTTTACCGTATCAAACAGTTCCACTGCAGACCAGATGTACACGCATACAACACTCTCATATACGCTCTCTGCAGAGTTGGTAACTTCAAGAAAGCCAAGATTTTACTGGACCAAATGGAGCTGCCAGGGTTTAACTGCCCTCCCGACAAATTCACATACACAGTCCTCATAAGCTCTTACTGCAGGCATGCAATGGAAACTGGATGCATAAAAGCCATCCGGAAGAGAATGTGGGAAGCAAACCACTTTTTTCGTCTCATGCTGTTCAAGGGTTTCCTCCCAGATGTAGTGACGTACAACAGTTTGATCAACGGCTGCTGTAAAACATTTCGGATTGAAAGGGCTTTGGAGCTGTTTAAAGACATGGAGAAGAGGGGTTGTAAACCGAACCAAGTCACCTATAATTCTTTCATTAGATATTACAGTGCTGTGAACAACATTGAAAAGGGTATCGAAATGATGAGAAGAATGGAGTCTGGAGGTAATGGTGTGTCGACCAATAGTTGTTACACGCCTTTAATCCATGCTATGTGTGAAGGAGGAAGGGCGATGGAGGCGTGGGGTTTATTGGTTGAGTTGGTTAAGGGGGGGTCAATCCCAAGGGAGTATACTTATAGCCTGGTTTGCAAGGGATTAGAATCGGAAGGGAGAATGGATGTTTTGGATGTTGAAGTATGTACTAGGATTGAAGAAGGTATAAAGAGCAGAATCAGTCAAGCAGAGAGACATAAGCCTTTGTTTAGCCGCAAACATTCAACACCATTGTAACATTTGTTCTATTTATGAAACCTTTCGAAGTGCATAGTTTTGGGTATAGTCTTTATCTATGATGCAAACAAATGAAACAAACAGTTCTTTTTCTCTTCTTTTGCACTTCACCCGCTACCTCTACAAAGACTTGTAGCTCCACTAATGGCTACTGTGACTTTAATGTTGTACAATGTAAATAGTGAGATAATATGGCTCTTATTATTGTTGTTTTCGAGGGTTACTTTTATGGATTGATACTCTAAATCGGGTTGAATTAACTTCTAAAATGAAATTGAGACTTGTATTCTTCAGCTTAATTTAGATTCAATTTCCTATTGAATTTGATCTCAACTATAAAATCAGGTCATAATTTAGCTAAAAGTCTCACTTAAATTACGGCTATAACACATGATTTCTAAGTTCTTTTGGTGTGGTATCCGTATATCATGATTCATGATAAAAACTAAATTAAGTTTAAATCACAGGCAAAGAACAAATTTTATACACTCAGGATAATTTAATTCAAATCGGGCGTTTACTTTCTTCCATTTTTGACACGTTTCAGAACTAATGGAAGTTGCTGAAGTGACCTTGAGACATCTCTGAATTGCAAAAAAGACCCAGAAATGTTCAATAAATCACAAAAACTGCACAAAACCTGAAGGAAAATGTGTGAGAGTAATTAAAACTGTTTTTATTTGGATTTTTGAAATTTTTTGATCTGGTCTGATCTGGTCAAAAAGCTGTTTGGTCTGTATATTTTATACTATCAAAGTCTGGTATGGGTTGGTCAAATCTGCTAAAGTCTATCTAATCTGTTTAAATCTAGTCTGATAGGGTTGGAGACTGAAATAAGTAAAAAATTGCACTAAAGAATTGCTTACATTCTCACAATGAACGTGTACTTCAGTTTGCAATTGCATTGAATTATCCTCCACTCACTAATACAACATTTTTTATCTTACAAGTTACAACCATCTTAACGACATGAAAAGAAGAGAGAAGAATAAGATTATTTTTAAAACCAAACCTAACCGACTAGTAATTCACCAGAGGAAGCTTGAGCGGTAGTATTAGCATCCTGCCTTACATTAAACCAGAAGAAAAGGGAAGTTCTACTACATATGACCCGAACCTGCTGCAATGTAAGTGTACCAATGGAAAGAACAGCCTTGGAGCCTTACAGTCTTGCAGACCCGAATTGAAGGAGGCTCAAAAGAGTTTGGGATCAGCGAACAACGAAACAACTTGCAAAACCAGTCATAAGAAAGGTTAATGATAGCAATCAAAATCAGCCTTCCTGTTATCTTTTCAATCTTACAAGACATGAGTTATATCAACAGTTCAAACTCTCAGTGCATGGTTGCCTGGGTAAAAGAGAGCGATCTGAGTAGACCACAGAAAATAAAACTTTCTAGATTCTGCAGTAAACATGTACTCTGTATATGTCAATGAGAGAGGATGCTAACATCCACACTCAGTGACAAAAATGTGTTGTTTTATGATTAACACACATCTCTATGTGCCACGAACAACAACAGGAGCAAGTTCCTAAAAGAGAACTGATAACATCACTAACCTTACACTCCTTTTGATTAACAACAGGAGCAAGTTCCTAATAGCACTGTAGCAGTGGAAAGAGTGCTAAATAAATGAATAGACGGGGAAGCTAGATGTGACCAGAAAGATTACCAAGTGGAAAACAAAATATAGCATCTAAAGCAGAACCCAACATAACATTTCTTGCACGCCAGTAGAATGACCCTGGCACTGGAAATACAGAAGCGAAAAGAGTTTAAGAAACCAGGGAAAGCACTGAAAAAGATGTATTCTTGATTGCAAGATTTATCCCACTTACTAATAAGACCAAAAGCTGCAGAAGTAGCAGATCCAGCTCCAACAACATTATAGACATCATGCACTCCACGCTTCTCAGCAAGAAGATTCTGCAACCCGTAAAATGCAGCAGTGAACATCCCAAGTAGACCTGGACAAAATCGGGCCGGCCCGCCCAGCCCGCCCGCACAAATGGGCGGGCTTGGGCATATATATTTACCCACCGGCCCGGCCCGAGCCCAGCCCGCAATAAGATATGGGCGGGCTTGGGTTAGGGTGTAGGTCCGTTTGGGCCGATAAACCCGGCTCGCTACATTTATTTTATATATATATATATATATATATATATATATATATATATATATATATATATATATATATATATATATATATATATATATATATATATGCTAATTTATTTATTTATTTGCATATACACATGTATATTTATATTTACTAATTTTTCTTTATACATATTTTTAGTTTATTATGTTTAAATTTAAATTTTTAGTTCTTACAGATGTATACTCTTATGGGCGGGCCGGGTAGTCCACCGGGCCACCCGGCTCGGGAAAACTTTAATTTTTTCAAAATTATATGATTTTTTAAATACTTTAAAAATAATATTACAACATTTAGAAAATAATTAATACGCTTATAATGTTTATACGTCTTTCACCACATACAAAAAAATACTTACACAAAAATAATAATTAGAAACTATATCTAAAATTTAAAATTTAAACACAAAGTATTATCTTTAAGTACAAAAATAGATATTATATTGGTTGGGCGGGTATGGACATAGGGTTAGGCCCGTTTTGCGGGCCGAGCCGGGCCCGGACAAACATGATGGGCAGAAAATTTATAAAAAGCCCGGCCCGAGCCCCCGGCCCGAAACCGTTTTTGTACAGGTCTAATCCCAAGACGAACTCCACCCACTATTGAGCCACGAGTGACTCGTACAAATCTTTTCTCCATGGTCTCTCATCAGGCGATACTGTTCACGCTTATCTGGTGTGCTCCCAAGCTTCAGCATCACCTCTGCATCCTTGCTCTGTCAAAAGAGCTCACAGCTAATCATGGCAAGATAACAGCTTGACATTTATTCCTCCTCCAGAATGTATAATTCACAAAATGCATACTTACAACTGAAGCTGCTGCCTCCTTGCTACCTCCATATAGCATGCCAGCAAATACTCCAATAACGGTAGCAGTGCCCCAATTGACGGTTCCAGCCATTTTTGGACTTCTCTGACAAAAAAGGTGTAATGTTTTGACATTATTGGATACACAAATTCCATTTGAAGATCTAACCATCTCAACTTGTCATTTTAAAAGAGACTCCTTAATCAGTGATTTTGGATCAGCCTAAGGATGTATCAAATAACAGATACATGAACCCGCAAAATTCAAGAATGAAAGAGTAACTCAGACATTCGACAGGTATCTCACAGTGTTAACTGCCAAGAAGATGTGAATTTGAAATTCCGAACTGACCCTTTAGATATTAGTATATTCCCAGATATTAATTTCTATGGAGCAGTAAAGTTGATAAATCCAGTGTAGATTGTAACATATGTAAACACTCCTAAATCTGAACCATTATATATTTACAATTATTAGAGAGACAGAGCCCAGCCAAAACACCATGAAATGTTCTGATTTGACTCCTTGATACCTCATATTGTGGATCAAACCCAGCCAAAATACCATGAACAAATGTTCGCTCCTCTTGTTCTTGCATACTCTTAACATCAGCAGTAATAGGGAATCGGGATCGCTTTTCCTCAAAAATCTGTTTACATTCATTGTAGTATTGAAACAACGTCTGGTCCTTCATCTCCGGTCTAGAGTAGTGCATCAGTAATTGATGAACATAAGAGAGATCTTGTTTACTGGCATACATAGACTCCAAGTATTCCCACATTTCTTTGACAATATCACAATGAGTAATGATACTATCAATAGAAGGATCCAGGGTATTCTGAATTTGATTGAACAACCTATCATCAGCCATCATCCATTTCTTTCTTTCATCAGGATTACTTCTTGGAGGAGCCATTTCAGTTAGATGATCTCCCATATCAAGATTATTAACATATCTTGTAATAGTCCGTTTCCACTGCCTGTAATCTTTACTACCAGTCAGTTTTCTCTCGGTAATTCTAGCATTACCGACCGTAATCTCAGTCACGCTCTTCTTATCATCACTCGTGCTTGCAAACAACTAGGGCAAGAGTGATGACAAGAACAGGATGCAGATAGTGTCCAGAAAATCAGACCTGCGACAATTGTGCTGCACTATCCGGATTACCACGTCTGCGCCTGCGAACAATGTCCTGCGTCGCACAAAAGAAGGCTAAACCGAACCAGAAGAAGGGAGCAGAGTCGAACTTCGGGAAGTACTACCCGAAGTTTTTTTAGGGAATCATCATTGAGTGACATCGATTATTTAATGAGATTATTTGCTACAATAATCTGGGATCAAAATATGAATCCGGATTATTTTAAGATTATTTGAAAAATATATGCAATAGAGATTAATGCAAGACAGAGAAAAAATAGATTATTTGAAGATGGTGATTGAGAGACATAAACGAATTTTGAGATTATTTTATAATTAACTATATAACAATATTTAAATGGTAAGAATCATAGAAAAAATTGATTATTAGAGATCATGAATGGAGAAGGTCTTATCATTAGGTATGGCCAGTATAAATACATACAAGCTAGAGAATACAAAAAAGGAAACTAAATCTGTCAGATTTATCTAGAATATTTAGTCTATCGCAGAGAATATAATAGCTACCATATATATACAGAATATATTGACTATTAAATATGTATATTCTAACAACAACTATACAAGTCATAGTTTACAAGTACAGAAGTCAATATATATACGCAAACAATTAGGGTAAAACACTTAATAAGGTTCTGGGCCTGACCGCCACCCAAGAAACAGGCCCAACTAGGGCCGAAGCCTACAGCCCAACATCTGCCACCCACGGTTCACGGACTCACGGCCCTCAGCCTCTTATTGCCTCGGACCTAGGTAGTGTGCTAGCATATACTCCGTATGTTTTTCTGAAGTTTCTCTTTTTAATTGCAAATTAGGTTGTTGTTACTTGTTTATTTATTGAAAAAATGAAGTAATTCAATTGATAATTGTATTTAACAATTAAGAAATTGGTTTAAGTTTGTTATAAGAATTTGGGTTCAGTCTTTAGCAATTTTGATGTCCACGCCTCTACTATTTCTTATACGGAGCAGTTTGTAAGGTATTTTATTTTTGTTCTTTAATTTGTTTAAGTTCTTTGCTCTTCCATGTTTCTTTAATAAATTTGGCCAATAATTTTTGGGTACACCTCTCATGTCATTAAAACCTTCACCTTCTACTACAATTTTTTAAGGATTGGACTTGAGAAATTTATACGTAGGTATGATTTCTTTAACAAGAAAATTTATTATAAACATTCACACATTACCTACGGCGTACTCTATTTGTAGTTTGTACTGGCCAGGACCTCCTGAAATGTCAGGACCAGGCTTGGGAGAGATATTCAAATGCTCTCTCTTTATTTTGTAATGTTTGGGCCACATGATGAATACACACCTTAATAAAAAACTTGTCACTTTAGCTGCAATGCACCTAGGCCTGTCAATGGGTCGGGTCCGGGTCGGAACGTAGTGTTCCAGACCCGGCCCCGTTAAGTTAATATTGGACCCGAACCCGACCCGTTTACCCGTCGGGTCTGAAAATTTGGACCCGGATCCGGACCCAACGGGTCTCGGAATCGGGTCGGGTAGACCCGCCCGCTAAGTATGATACACACACCATTATAAGCTTTGTGAAAATAATAAGACATGTATGTGAAATATAAAGCAAAGTGTACAAATTTAAAAACAAAATATATCTTCACTTTAAAAAAAATCAAGGTCTCTCACAGAAATTTAGTACTTTTATCTAATAAAGTATCGGTTCTTGTACAATGCATATAGCTCCACACTCTGCGTCACTTTGTCTTGCACAAAAAACTTGTAGAATAAAGTAGAAATTAAGTCATAAAAAAGTCTCTTGGACTACTAAGAGTATAAAATCATATGTAGTACTGATATTATATATGATAATGATATAATAATAATAATAATAATAGTAGTAATAAATAGTGTGCTTTCGTACCGATCCCAATACACACTTTATCAGTATGTATTTACAACCAAAATGGACATTAGTTTTAGGGTAACTTACTGTCTCGATCAGTATCACTTATATAGTAGTTATGTATTAATTTATACTTCCTCCGTTCCATAAAAGTTGCAACATTGGAATTTATGCACTATTCACACACCTTACTTTGACTACGATTTTCTAATAATATATATAATAAAAATATTATGTATAAAATATTAATAAATTTATATTAATGTAAATTTCCAATATATTAACTTTTTTAATGTTTACTACTACGTAAATAAATATAATTACAGTTAAAGTTGCGCGTTGACAAACGTGAAAGTCAAAATGTTGCAACTTTTGTGGAACGTAGGATAGTATATTGTTATTGAAGAATCATAACTAATACTAGTATATAACTAGTATTAGTTATATATGTATATTAGTTTCTATTTTATTTAAAGTGTCATAACTAATCACTTTATGTATTAGTATGTGTATAAAAATAAGAAATTTTAAACGGGTCTGGGTATCTAAGCTTCTTATCGTAAGAATTTGATATATTACTGAACATTTTATTAAATATTGATTTTGATGTGATATATTCTAAATTTGAGAGCTTAGATTTCTACGACCGAGATATTCTGAATCTATGAGTATTTTTTCATCTCATGCGGTAATAAGAATTTTATTGAAGTCAATTTCTAAGTCAATAAATTGAGATATTATTACGGATGGTATGTACTATGTAGGGCCCTCCCTACAGTGCTAAGATTTGTTTTTTGAAATTGACATTTCTAATTGTATATTTTTTATTATAATGCATAACATATGAAAGATAACTAGAAAGATTAAATTGTGACATACATCTAGAAAGGAATTGTTCGAAGTTTTATTGGCAACAAAAAAAATTATTAAACGGAAAAAAGTAGTGATTAAATTACTTTAACAACTTCTATAAAAAGTAAAACACAAACATAATAATTCACCGGCAAGTTAGATTATATTTCGACTATGAAATATACACTTTTCCCTCCCTTTCTGTTTCTGGTTGAAGACAGATGTAAGTTTGGAGTCCCTATATTATACACCCGGGTGTATGCATACACCCAAGTAATTTTGTAATTTACATCAACTTTGAGCTCATATAATGCGCAGTACTTTTTAAAATACCATCTCCACAACTCTCCGCAACTTTGAGCAGACAGTCTCCTGCGCACATCTTCCACCTTAACCCTCATTCTTTTTTTCTTTTTTCTTTTATATCCACAATTCCTATAAATCATATGGAATATCTAAAATTGAATCTTTCTCATTCAAAAATTCTAAATGGGATACAGTTTGATCTAAAACATATATCTTCCTCTCATTAGTAATGTTTCAATTTTTCTATATTGACTCATAATATGAATGCACACCAACTATTCGAAAAAAATCCAAAATGAATGTTAAGTTCTTTTTTGATGGAATATCTCATTATTTGTTGCGCTTGTATAAAATTTATGCATACATTTTTCATAATAGTTCTTGACTTCTTGTTATGATTAGGAGATTAGGTTTCTCTACATCTACAGTTTTATCAAATCGTAAATGTTTTTTGTTATGCATTGAATTTGACGTTTGATGAACTTTTGAAATGGTTGAGATATGTTTTTCCAATAATTTAATTTTTTCTATAAAAATTAGTAAACGTAACTAATTTTAATAATTTAAAGTGTAATATGTTTAATTATATCGTGTGTAATATTGGAATGAGTACTCTGTTACACTAAAATGAGTATAATGTGTAAAATAAATGTGCATAAGTGTAACATTGTAAAATAAGCATGATAAAGTTTTCAACTAGAATAAGGATTTAATAAATTGCTATAGTTCTCATGGCAAAATCTACTTATAATTTAGGAAATGAGTGATTATACCAAGTTGGTTTTATGAATATAATTAGATTTGTGGATTATTTGAAAATGAATTTTATATTATACTTAAATGAGTATATCGCTTAAAAGAGATGAGCATTGACATTAAATTATAATATGAGGAAAAAAGATTTCAAATGAGTATGTCTTAAAAAACAAATACAACAATGTCCATTGATATACACATGTTTTAAAATGAGCACAAGTAGCAAATGAGAATATGATACTTATGAAATGCACCCTGATATGACATTTTAAATTGAGTATATGAGACACACTGAATGAACATAAATTTCATAAGAAATGAGCATTATAAATTCAAAGATTGAACATATATGTCGAAATCTCCAGATCTCATTTAAATATATTAATTAATATTGTATGCTCATTTTCAACGTCATACCAATGTTCAATTGTTTTATACCCTATATCATTTGAGTATAGCATAAAACACATATATGAAATCCACATATGTAATATAATCATTACGAGCAACTTAATTGATGGATATTGTACCCGGGGGGTAGCTTGTCCGAGGGGTTATCACGAGGAATAACAGGAGAGAAGTCAGAGCAAGCAAGTATATATAGAGAGAGTATATTATACAGAGTGGAGCGTTTTCAGCGTCAAATGACTTGGTTACAAATGGGGAAAAGGGGGGGCTATTTATAGTAGCAATAAATGCCGGACAGGGACACGTGTCAAGCGTCCATTGGCCGAGAGGTCACCTCAACTGGTTGGCGCTGGCAGCCGCATGTGGCCGCATTTAATGCGGCTGTTGGATGGGACGTTTGTACAGGGTACGGTGATCTGTACGCATGTGGCACGGATATTATGTCGGGAGAGGTGCCCTCGGCTGCAGAGGACTAGCCGAGGGCTCTGGGTGCCGGGGACCCCTGGGCGCCGAGGGCTCCAGGTGCCGAGGGCTAATGTTTTCTGCCGTTTTCCTCCCAGATTCTTAGTTTGCTTGAAAAACCCGTTCTGTGAGAGTTTTGAGCCTTCGGCCAGGGGGTCGAAGGCTCCCCAGTGTGCACTGTGGGCTGCTAAGTGCTTGGGGCGCCGTAATTTGGGGCCTGTTGTGCTTCCTGGGCCGGTTGGGCCTTTATTGGTGTAGTAGGAGTCTGTGGGCCGGGGGTTCCCGGGCCATATACTCCATCAGGAGTCCCTCACTCCTTTTGCCGAAAGGTACTTGAGGGAAAAAGGAGTAATTTGTGCTTGCCCTTTGATGTTGTCCCGTCGTAATCTCTGAAGTTGGTGAGGAGTCGTTGCTTTCATGTCCCTGCCGAAGGCAGTCCCTCAGTTACCCACATGTCGGGACTTGAGGGATTGCTTTGCTGTTTGTTGGAATGTTTCACCATTTTGTAATTTATATATTTTCCCGAGGGGGTCCTCCAGTCCCCCACTCCTTGAGGCACTTGCGAAGTGGTGAAAAGGAGTGAAGCAGTTGCGTTGCTGTTGCGGGCTGAAGGCTGACGCTTTTCGTTTCATTTTGGGGGGATGCCTCGTTAAAAACCTCATTAGGAAAAACCATGTGGGAAAAAATCCTAATGAGGGAAAAAGAGTGCACCGAATTCCCCCAACGATGAATCGAAAATGTGAAACCTTGGCTCAAAATGGAGAATAATGGTAATGGCGAAGGCTCTCCTTATTCTGAGGGCTCCATGTTGTGTTGCTGAAGGCGCGTCGTTGATATCCTGGGAGGCGTCGAAGTAGAGTCCCTCAATCCATGGGACTGAGGGCGTGATAAACGTAGATAGTAGCCGTGAAGATCCCGAAGGCTTCACGACCTTCATTATTTAGTTGATGAGTGGAGCACCCGAAGGGTCCTGTTTCCTGCGTGCTGGGGGCGCGCTTGTTGATGAAGTGATATTCCCCGGGGGCTGCCCGGAAATTAATGTGTTGTAGGGGGGAGGATACCCGAGTGGTCCACCAGCCGTGAGCCCGAGGGGGTCTCCTTCGTGAGGTGGAGCGAAGGAGGGAAGCCCGAGGACTACCCCTTTATTTGATGAAGGAGTGTTTACCCGAGGGCGTACCTCCAGGTTCCCAGAATATAGCCGTTGTAATGTGACCGTTGGAGGGGGAGTACACGTGGCACGTGATGGTTGGCTGCCCGTGGGCGGCGTCACCGGTTGGGCGAAGACGCGGCGTGTAATGATGACCTTTTGCCGGGGGCCCGATTTTTTGGGCCCAAGCCCGGATCTGGGCGCCTATAAATACCCCCGGCCAAGGCCATTCGCCTTTGTGCGATCATACTGTTAGCGAAGCTCTGCCGAAATTTCTAGAGAGAGAAACTCCGTCCTTCGGTCAAACCAAGTCTCAGAGGTTAGTTCTCCTTCTGCCTTAGCTCTATTTGAGTACTTAGCTTTTGGCCTTAGGGTTAGGCTTTAGGACCCTTCAGGAACCCTTCTGTGTACGAATTTTTCGACCCCTCGCTTTTTAGAAGTAATGTCGTCAGCTAGTGATTCCCAAGACATCTCCGGGGAGGCTTCAGTGAACATCGAAGTGGCGTCTGACGTGGAATCCTCAAGCGAGCAGCTCTCGGTCATCGACGATAGGGCCGTAGCCGAGGCGATACAGGGTGACCTTCGGCTTGAACTCGAGGCCGAAGACTTCGAGCAGGTGAACGCGGATGAGGAGCTTGCCATCGCCTGTCAGGTGGCCGAGGTCGGGGCCCAGAAGGAGGGCTTGAAGGTGACTGTAGCTATCCCTCCTCCTCGGTGTGATACCGAAGCTGGGAGCTCCCGGCCTCTTGACGCCGTACCCCTCAGTGTGGCCCCAGGGAAGAAGAGAAAGAAGACGAGGACGGCTCTGTAGAAGAAGCAAGCTGCCGTCGACGCTGGCCAGCCAGTGGGACTGCCCGAGGGCTATTCTTTCCTGAATACGGCCGCCTTGGAGGTCAAAAATAAAGCCACCCGAGGGGAGATGATGGCGGTACAATTTTTGGTTGGGCCTTCGCCGCAGGTGGTAGAGCCAAAGCCGGATGATGTGCTCCTTTGTGCCCCCGAGGGCTGTTTTGCCGTACATCTGCTTTCAGTGGAGCTGGGTCTCAGATTTCCCCTTCATCCCTTCGTGTTGGAATACCTACGCTTCGTCAAGCTAGCCCCCTGCCAGTTGACCCCGAACAGTCACTCATACCTGGCAGGGTTCCGGTCGCTGTGCCTCAGCCGAAAGGTCCCCCCTACTCTGGAGCAATTCTTTCTGTCGTCCAACTTGTGTCGGGGGGTCATTCGAATGCCGGGGGCTATGGTAATTTGCAGCAGCTCCCGAAGTTCAGGATTTTCGACGAGGCGCCTTCGTCTCACAAGGGGTGGAAAGACAAGTTGTGCTACATTCGTCTGGCCGAGAACCCTTTCTCCGCTCCGCTTGGTGATAGGTTTCGGCGGCACCTGAAGGCAGAAGGGTATGCCCTCGAGAAAAATGGGCGGGTGTTGTCCAAGAAACCGGAGGGGTCTAATAAGCACGTGTCCATCAAAGGCGCAACGCTCTCCAGTGAGTTGTACAAGCTTGGCTTTCGTCGATACCGGCTGATGGGGGAGAAAGAGGAAGGCTACCCCACGATTGATCGTGTATATGAGAGCGCCGAAGGTTGTTGCAATGCCGAGGGCTTTAATTTTCATACTTAGAATTTTTTCCTTGCTCTGTTGTAGTAGTAAACTAACTCTTGTGTGCCTTCTTTTGTTTCAGGACCGGATATGGACGCTCGGAACCTTGTCAAGCTGAAGAGGCAACTTGCCAAGGAAGACCAGAAGAAGGAGGCCCCTGCACAGCAGAGGGCGGTTGACGAGATATTCCCGAAGGCGGGAGCAGCCGACGAGGCCAAGGAGGTAGGGCCCGTCGTGGAGACCGCCGCCGGAGGCTCCCCCGGTTTGGAGCCGAAGAGGAAGAGACTCGGGAAGGTCCCAGCACAGCCGGAGGGGAAGAAGAAGAAGAAGGGGGCCCCGGAGTTGAAGGAAGCCCCCGTTGTGATCGTAGATGAATCTTCTCCCCCCATCCTTCGGGTCAAGCCGCTGGTCTGACATGGCCCCAGGACAAAATCCAATTCTCCATCACGAAGGGGACTGCTATCATGCACGGGACCCTGAACCCGAAGGAGTTTTTGAGGGGTGCCACCCCTCCGACCGATAAGTATGTGCTCTCCCGTCAAGTCGATGATGTCCTCTGCTCTAAGGTTCTGATGGCCTCGGTTACGGTAAGGTTCCTTCCTTCTCTTTTGCAGGTAATCTATTTCTTTACGTGTGCAGTGGCTTAACCTTCGGTAATTTATGCTTGCTTTCAGGCAAGCCTTGGCCTTGGCGAGCTGGTCCAGAGGATGGAGCAGTATGATTCCGAGAAGAAGAAAGCCGATGAAGCATTGGCTGAGGCCCGAAGGCAGCTCAAAGAGGCCGAGGAAGCTCGCAAAGCTGAGCAAAAGGCTTTTAATGAACTCCTCGAGAGCTCCAAGACGGTGGCCAGGGCCGAAGGCAAGGCAGAGGCGGAGAAGGCTGCGGCCGAGGCTGCCAAGAAGGCCGCGAAGGATGCCGAGGAGGCCCAGATCAAAGCCGTCGCCGAAGCCCGGGAGGATGCTGTCGCCGTTTTTGCTGAGGAGGGATGGAGAGCCGAAGACCGGGAGGAATGGGTGGCTTCGGTGGTGGAGGCTTCGCTGAATGAATGGGTGAAAGGCCCGGGCGCAATGTGGCTGACCCGAAAGGGCAAAGAGTATTATGACGGGGGTGAGTACTTTACTCAGGCCCTTGTATATCGAAGGCTGTCCCAGCATCTTGGGGTGGACCCGAAGGCCTTCGACCCGGCATCCTATGGTCTCCCTTCCCTTCAGCCAGACCCCAGGGTTCCCCTCCCTGAAGGTGTTGCGAGGCCTGATTTGGAAGACTCCCTGCTGATGGCCGAGGGCAGTGACGAAGAGGAAGCAACCGGGGATGATGTCGCGTCTAAGCCTGTAGCAGAGGACGCCTCCGGGAATGATGTTGTTGATTTGTAATCTGTACTTAGCCAATATTTGGAACACACTTTGTAATGGTCACATTTGTATGCTTTCGGCCTCGGCCATCATTGTAACAATTACATTTACTCTTTTTTGTGATGATTGATGGATGAATGTTAGCCCTCGGGCCTTGTATATATGACTTGTTTTCTTTAATTCATTCCTCCTTGAATGTATGCCTTCGCCCTCCTTTGAATGTATGTCTAGGACTTAGAATATATTCTAAGTGTTTGTTCATCTGTTGGACTTCAGTAGTTGGGCACCCTCCGCTGGATGTATGGCCAAGGGCCCGGCAATAGTTAGGACTTAGAAAATATCTCTAATTGTAGTCTCACCAAGCCTTCAATCGTGTGACCCCTCGGGTTGCAGGGAGATTCGGGACTTAGAAACTTGTCACCGAGGGTAAGATCTTTTGGGACTCAGAAATTTTTCTAAGTGCAGCACGTATGTAGTAGGAGCCCTCAGTCAGCATGGAGATTTGACCGAGGGTCACAGTATGTAGGACTTAGAAAATTTTTCTAAGTGTAGCACACCATAGGGCCTCCGGGTGTTTGCAGTTCAATTGCTGTGAGATGATTAGGTTGAGAAAATTTTTCTGAGTGTAGCCCACCTTAAGACTTAGAAAAATTTCTAAGTGTAGTTTGCCCTCGGAAGCCCTCGGCTGGTAGCCTCCTTCCTGATGTGTGAATATTGGACCGAGGGCCCAATATATAGGACTTAGAAAAATTTCTAAGTGTGTTGTAGATGTTGAACCTTCGGTCAGTGAGGAGTCTGTCCGAGGGGAGAATATTTAGGACTTAGAAAAATTTCTAAGTGGATCTCAGATGTTGAGCCCCCGAGTGGTCCTGATAGGAGCCCTCGAATCATTGGGTGAACCTTCCTGTCGCATGGATATTTGGCCGAGGGCCAAATATTTAGGACTTAGCCTTACTTCCAAATGCATGGTGATAGCCTTCTCCTTGATGTATAAGTAGTTTGACCGAGGGAAAAATATGTAGGACTTAGAAAATCTTCTAAGTGTTGTTGCATCACGTACCCTTCGGCTATCATGGTCCCTCAGTTGAAATAGTGATCAGGCCGGGGGCTCAATCTTTAGGAATTAGAAAAATTTCTAAGTGTTGCTTCCTTGTGTAGCCTTCGGTTAGTAGTGTTTTCCACTTAAGATTTCCCGAGGGTGACATTATTTTGAAATAATCCCCCTTGGTTGGCCTTTGATGATTTGTGATAGACGCCTTCGGTTGTTGGGTGATATATGAGCCTCCGGCTGTTGTCATTTTTTCAAAAGTGTGGACTTAGGAAAATTTGTAGGACATTGATGTTGTAGTGAATGCTGGTGGGATATAGGTGCCCTCGGCATTCACTTGAAGGGTTCTTGAGCTGCCTTAGTCAGTTGCATCCCTTTTTACAGGATAGGACCCCTCGGTAGCAATGGATGACCGATGGTAGGTTCCCTCGGCACTTATTTGAAGTGAACTTAGCCGTTTAGTGTACTTGAGACAGTCCCATCCCTGTATTGTTGAGTAGTAACCTTCGGGAAACAGGAGCCTTCGGTTACCGGAGGTGTTCCCGTAGGGAGCCCTCGGTATGCTGTGATTTGTTGGAGTGTTGTACTCATTGATTTCTCGATGAGTCTACTCCCCTTCACCCCCTCTGTTTTTTTTTTGGTTGGTGGTGAAGGGAAGGCATCAAGAAACTTGGTTTCTTGGTAAGGCTGGGCCTATCAGGAGACCATCAGAATACACCAATGGCTCTCCTCCCTCGGGTTAACCTTCCGAGTTCCGAGGGGATCGAGGGTCATTTCCTGGGCACAAGATATGGTGGTCTGTAACCTGCCTCCCCTTGGGGGATGGCGCGGAAAGCACCTCATTTTTGAAAGTCGTCCCCTCGGCGCTAGACATAGTCCGTGGCCTGCCACACCCTTGGGGTGGTAGTGCGGGGAGCGTTTCGGTTTGGAAGTCGAATTCTGGGCATTTCTCGTGCCTGTCATACCCTTGGGGTGATGACGCGGAAAGCGTTCCGTTTTTTAAAGTCGAATCCTGGGCATTCCTCATGCCTGTCATACCTTGGGGGTAGTGACGCGGAAAGCGTTTCAAGGAAGGGTTTTCATTTGCACACTAGTTGCAAATGGCCGGGGGCACTACGTGCCGCCGGCACCGATGGTGGCGCCTTCGGTATATGCGTCCTCGTGGGGTACGGCTTTTAGAAACAACACTTGGTGTTAGTTTCGATATGTAGCCCCCCGGTACTTGGTACCGAGGGGTCTTCTGTAGGAACACTTAGTGTTCTTCTTCTATTTGACTTTGATGGGTGAGATGTGTACCCCCGGCACTGGGTGCCGAAGGGTCTTGAAATGAAACACTTGGTGTTTCCTGTTGCTGGTGATGGGAGTCCCCACTCTCGGTACTTGGTACCGGGGGGTCTTGTTTGAAACACTTGGTGTTTTCACTGTTGTCGAAGGTGTTGATGGTGTTCGCCCTCGGCACTTGGTGCCGGAGGGGGTTCTTCTCGTGGTGAGGCCTGGGGTCTGTAGTTGGTATGAGGGCTTGGCCGCTCATAAGTGTTTTGCGGTTGTTCTTGGTGTCTTGAATGTGTCTTCATTCTTTAAAATTGGAGGCCTTGGGCCATAGGATAGTACATTCACTAGTTATGAGGGCTTGGCCGCTCTTACATTATTGATAAAATTTAACTAAGTGGTGTACATTCCAGTGTCTGGGGACCTCTTTCCCGTTGGGGCGCTTGAGCTTGTAAGTCCCAGGTTTGATGATGGCTGCTATGATGTAGGGACCTTCGAACTTTGGTGCCATTTTGCCTCCCTCGGTCGGTTGGCTGGCTTCCCTCCTCCGGAGGACATAGTCCCCCACTTGGAATTCTCGGGTGCGAACCTTGGCGTCGATGTAGCCTTTGACTTGCCTTCGGTAGTTTTCTGCCCGGATGAAGGATTGCTCCCAGCGTTCTGAAAGGAGGTGGAGGTCGAGGGCCATGTTGCTGTCGTTGACCTCGGGGTCATATTGGATCACCCTCCGGGTGGGAAGGGTGACTTCCGTAGGAGCTTTGGCTTCAAACCCGTAGCAGAGGGAGAAGGGTGTCTCGCATGTTGCTCGCCGAGGGGTGGTGCGGTAGGCCCAAAGGATGTTGTGGAGTTCTTCTACCCAGCCACCGCCCTCGGCCTCCAGTTTCTTTTTGAGGCCCTCGAGCAAGGTCCGGTTGGCGTTCTCTACTTGCCCGTTGCCTTGAGGGTAGGCAACGGAGGAGAAGGTGTGTTTGATGCCCCATGCCTCCAGAAGGGCACAGAAGGGGGCTGCCTCAAATTGTGTTCCGTTGTCGGAGATGATCTGCTGGGGGACGCCAAACCTTGTGAGGATGTTCTTGAGGACGAAGTGACGGCACTTCGCCTCTGTGATGCTGGCGAGGGGCTCAGCCTCCACCCACTTGGTAAAGTAGTCGATGGCCACAATGATGTACCTGTTGTTGGAGGTACCCCTCGGCAGAGGGCCCACAAGGTCTATCCCCCATCGAGAAAAGGGGACAGATGTGCTGATGGGGGCATAGTTGACCGCTGGCCTGCCGGGGGCTTTCGGGAAATGTTGACATGCGGTGCACCTTCGGGCAAGGTCAGCACAATCTCTGGCCATGGTTGGCCAGAAGTAGCCCTGGAGAATGAGCCTTCGGGACATGGAGAAGGGCCCCTGGTGAGCTGAGCAAGTGCCACTGTGCACTTCCTCCATTGCGACCTCGGCTTCATCTTGATGAAGGCATCGAAGTAGCGTGCCGTTGTAAGACCGTTTGTAGAGCCTTCCGTCCTCGATGGTGTAGCTAGGAGCCCTCAGCTTTGCTAGTTTAGCGCGAGTCTCATTCTCGGGTAGCTGCCCTGTGGAGATGAAGGTGATGATATCCGAGATCCAGTCCTCTTGGCGTTGTTGTATGTTCATGACAGGGCTTGCATGGATACTTGAGAGACTGAGTTCCTCAATTTTAGCAATCTTGGAGATGTGCTCGGGGGAGTCGGCCGAGAGCTTAGATAGTATGTCGGCCTCGGAGTTCTGAGCCCTCGGTATTTGAGTGAGAGAGTGTGCCTCAAATACCTTAAGCAACTCCTTGGCCGCCTCCTTGTACTGTTTCATTCTTCCCTCCTTGGCCTCATACTCCTCGGAGATTTGGCCAACGACCAACTTGGAGTCGCATTTGATATGGATCTGCCGAGCCTTCATGTTGCCAGCCAGTCGAAGGCCACACGGGAGGGCCTCATACTCGGCCTCGTTGTTGGAGACTCTGAAGGAGAAGCGGATTGCATAGTAGGCTATGAAGCCCTCGGGAGTAATGAGGACTACCCCTCCCCCGCATGCTTTGGTTGCGGAGGAGCCGTCGGTGTAGAGGGTCCACCAGTCGTCCGAGGTAGCTGAGGTCTCCCCGTCTGTGGCTGCCCTTGCGGTACACTCCGTCACAAAGTCCGCCAGGGCTTGGCCCTTGATGGCAGGCCTCGGACGGATGTCAATGTTGTACTGGCTCAAGAAGATAGCCCATTTCACCATGTGGGAGGAGCTGGTGGGGCTCCTCATGAGGGCGCCGAGGGGTTGATGAGTGAGGACATGAACCGGGTGAGCCTGAAAGTAGTGGCCCAACTTCTTGACGGTCCAAACGATGGCTAACACCGTTTTTTCCACAGGAGAGTACCTGAGCTCGGCCTCCCTTAGGGTCTTGCTTACATAGAAGATGGCATGTTGGATGTCGTCTTCCTCCCGGATGAGCACGGAGCTGATGGCTGCCGGGCTGACCCCAAGGTAGAGATAGAGGGTCTCCCCTACCTTTGGTTTGGAGAGCACAGGGGGTGAAGATAGATATCGTTTGAGCTCGTCGAAAGCCCCCTGGCATTCTGGAGTCCATTGAAAGCCAGCCGTCTTCCTCATGATCTGGAAGAAGGGTAGAGACTTCTCCGCTGATTTAGATAGAAAGCGGTTGAGGGCTGCCAGGCGGCCCGTCAACCGTTGAACTTCCTTCACGTTGCGTGGGGGCTCCATGTTGATGAAGGCCTGGATCTTCTCGGGATTGGCCTCAATACCCCTTTGGCTCACCATGTAGCCTAAGAATTTGCCCCCTTGGATGCCGAAGGTGCACTTCTTCGGGTTT